GGAAGTCGTACATTGTGGGGTTGGACTTGAGAAATTCAGCCAGTTTCTCCGCCGGATCCTCGGTGTAGACTTTTGAGAAGCGTTCCAGATAGGTGATGAGTGATTCGGCTTCATAGATGGACCCTAAGATACAAAGTGGAGGAACTGTGTAGAATGCTCTTAGGTTCTTCATAGAGGATTCTAGTTTCCAGAGAAAGGTTTCAGTGACATCCAAAGGATGCCGGCATACTTAATGACCCTACAGAAGATAATGAAACCCCCAGAAGAAACCTTGGTGAAAGGTTAGTCTACGCCACAGAACAGCTTATGTTTCGCATAACTGTCTACTTAGTCAGTAACAGTAGGCATGTTTTGTTTTATAAGGAAGTCTTACTTCGCAACCTCTGCTAGGAAGTATGGCTGCTTACTAGGATACATTCCATCTTCTTAGCTATTCACTGCCTTGTCGGACCCCGGTTAAAATCTTGTGTTCATGTGTTGAGTTATTGCTGACCGACTAGAATCAGCCTGTTACAGTGTCCCTAGTGTCCGTTGATAATCCTTCTAACTTCGTGTCTCCACTGCAGGTTCTTTACTTGATAATTTGTTTCACATTTCTTTTGAGTTCATACACCAAAAACCGCTGAAAGACCCACCGAGGAATCGGGTTCTTAGTAGTTGCGCCCTTGCGGAACAGCCGCCCTACTTGTAGTCCTAATTGTTCGTAGAATAGACATTAAGCAGTTGGCCTGCAGAAGTTCGGTGCATTCGAACCAAATATCAACTAAAAGTTTGGAGCTGCCCCTTAAAAGTCATTGCCCGGTCACGTTACTCCAGCATGTCCTCTTAAAAAGTTGCATAGTTATTAGGATAATTATTGCTCGCTAAAAGACCGCCTGCAAAGCCTCGAACCTCGGGGGTCGCAACACACGGGATTGGGTATGGCTGGCTGATAGCTGCTAATAAGCCAGAAAGGGCCATTCAAGTCCACCTTGTTCATCAATGCCTCGCCACCTGCAATTTGCTATCACTGCAGACCGGGTATCTACTCACTCGGCACTGGGCACACGCCGATCCAATAGGCTTTCCGTAGTCACCCACATGGATGGTGCAGATGCTCCACCACTGGGGTCTACCAGATGGGTCATACGCACTTCATCGAACCGCAGTTCATCAATTCCTCGCCATCTGCTGTTTGCTGTCACTGCAAACCGGGTTTCTACGGACTGGGCGCACACTGATTCAATAGGCTTCCCGAAGGAAACAAACTCTGTGTGGGTGGCTAGGGGTCCGACCACCTGCCAGGCTGACGCTGGCCAAGCTGAATGAAAGCAAATAAACCCAAAACACTTCTGCATCAAATTATCCCAAGACTCGGACACTTGAGTGCAAACTTTACTACAGGACTATTTTCAAACGTTATTCTACTTGGGCTAATATTTTTACGAATTTTTTTGCCTGAACAGGCTTTATTTTAATCTAAAGTTCATTTAGCTCATTTTCAACAGTTTCTGACGTTTTCTAAATTTTTGCACTTCTTGGAAAAAGTTAATAGTTCTAAGAAAATTAACATTACTCTTAAGATTTTATTTTATGTTTTCAATTTGGATAAAGTCCTTAAGCTCTTGAGTCCTTTAAGCAATTTGTTTGTGCTGGCTTACGAATGGTCAGCAAACTTTCGTAAATGTCGGCATTTTGTCCGAGACAAGTTGCGTGCTATGTGTAGGTGTATGGCATAGAATTCGTGTAACACGCCGACATATGCCAAAGATTACTACTCTTTCGCTAATCGGCATTGAGTAAGGTAGTAAGGTAACGTAGTCTTGTCTAAAGTCATTTCCGTCACGATAGGATGCCAGCCTTTTAACGGGCTTCGTTCTGACCGCTAACAAAACATATGTGCTGTTAAAAGTGGCTAGTGAAGTACTATGCATTTTTCTAATTAATTTTGACTGCCTTTATAAATTCTAACGTAAAACTTAACCTTGTAAACCTTGAATTCAAGTGAAGCAGTCAGTAGGTTTAAAAATTAAGTTAAAATTTAGAAGCACGTTAAAAAGTTGGCATCCTATCGTGACTGAAATAACTTCAGAATAAACTGCACCATAGGCATTATTATAACCTTACTCAATGCCGATAAGCGAATAAGTATCAATGTTTCGCATATGTTGGCATGTTACACGAATTCAAGGCCGTGCTGTACGCTTCTCAAGCACCAGCGCTATTTGTGTAGTCCCCATGAGTTCAGGATTGCCCCTGCGATTAACCTCGATCTGGGTCATTTTTAGGGCCATGCACCGCAGCGTCAGAGGGCTGAAGGATAACCTACCATCTGAGTCAAACACGATCTTCTTCATTTGTTGCATACTGGTAGATATAAAACTGCGCAGTCGATAGACCTCGCGGTCGGCGTGCACCTCCTTGTAGCAGTTGACCGGCAGAGTAACCCCAGCCTCCATAACTACAAACAAAAAAGAGTGAGCAAGAAAGAATACCATAATAAACCTCTTATCCTGAATTTTAACATTAGGGGGACATTGTTAGGAGGGCCCAAAATTCACACTGTCCTCAAGGCAGGATAACAAAGAAAGAACACGCGAGACCGGCTCTGACCAGATTCTGAGGTCACGCATGAGACAAGGGCCACGAAAAGACGCATGCACGTGCGCGCGCGTCACCGAGAGCGCAACCGGTCACCTGAAGACACGAGGGCTGGAGGCGTGACGGCTGCCTGTAGAGGCCACTCGTGGAGAGCCAATAGGGAACAATGACTACTGACCCTTAAATATGCTGCCACCGCTGAAGGCGGCATTCTGTTGCCGAGACACACTACTGACGACCCGACATTCTGTTGCTGGGGGCACAGGGTAAGCTGCCGAGAAGAGACCGACGACAGAAGACACGTTGCTGATGGACACACAGAAGACAACGCTGATGTA